GATCCCACCTCCGATCTTTTGGAGGTCTGTGTTTGCTCTGCTCCTAATCCAGGCTTTTTTACATCATTAATAGCTGCTTTTTCACTAAAAAATGAACTTTAATAAATTTTATTACCTTGTAATTGGTCAATCGCAAAATTATTTTGTTAAAACCAATCTGGTTGTACACGTAAGGAGTCTAAAGTTGGTATATGTATTTAAAAATTGCATGAGTTTCCGATTGAAAATATCTGTAGTTTGTGGTCACTAGGTATTCCTTCGATCTTTTAGATATTCATGTGTAACAATTTTACCCAGTTATTAATTGACCCATTTTTGTATTCATATGAAGACAAATATGTTCAAAATCTTACATATGAGAAGAAAAAAAAACATTAGCTGTGGCCTTCAGCTCGGCATCTCGATATATCAACGATGTATTTTCAATCAATAATAGTAACTTCCATTCATATTGAAATAAAAGTCTCCTCGGAGTCTGCCACATTTTTAATATTTAGACATTAACTTGAAAAAGACATGAATGGTAAAGCAACAAAGCTTTATGCTTCATCTTTTCAATCACTCCCCTTGCTTCTGTAGCAGTGTACCCTTTTCGCCTGCATACAGGGTTTACGTCTCTCAAGTAAGTCGATTTGCAAGAGCATTCTCTACGTACACAAATTTCTAAAACGAGGAAAGCCATTGATAAAAACGATTATGAAACAAGATTATGAAAATGCAGTTTGTTTTAAGTCACAATTTTGCAAGTTTTATGGTCGATATAATGACTTTGTCATCGCGCATATATAATCAAATGGATGGACTTTTTCATACTAATAATAAGGCTTTTAGACTACTTACACTAAAATGTCTTCGATTTTTCCATTTTTCCGATCATGACAAGAAGCACACGGTGGATGTGACCCGTCGGCAGGAGGTGCTAACTCCTCCACGGTACCTGACCTCACCTCTGGTGTTTTAGAGATCCGTGTTTTCTCTGCTCTTGATTTCTTATTATTTGAATGAAGTTTTGAGTTTGAATAACATTCGATTTTTGTTTTTACATATTTTATCCACCAAAATAAAATGAACACATTTTTGTTTTGCTTGTGCAATTTTTCAACATCCCAGGTTGAATGTACGGATGTCTCCAAAGATAAAAGAAAAACATTATTAAAATTTCTAATTTTAGATGGACAGAAATGGATCCTGTTTATCTTATAGATTCTGTTTGGAAATGCTTTGATGTAGTAGTTCAAAAACTGAAGGAAAAGAATCTAGATGTAAAACAAATAAAATGTAAGTATAAAATCTTTTTATTCTGTATACACTGAATTCATTAAATTCAACCATTTAAATCCATTAAATTAGATTTCGACACAAAAATACATAAATATCAAATTGATCGAGAAATTAAATTCGGTGTTTCAATTCAAAATGAAAAAGATTCTATTGAACAGGTCTAGGTATTACCAACCAGATGCTGACTATTATTCCGTGGTGCAGAAAGACAGGAAAAGTGTTCAGTAACGCAATTGGTAAGTATATGGGCTTGTCATAAAGTAAGCTCATGAAATAAACGCATTCCACAAGGCAGTGGGCGTATTTTACTGTGTTACACTCATGTACTGAATGTAATACATGTAATTAGTAATGAAGAAAGAAGGAGAAACTGCTTATCAAAATTAGCAAAAAAGATAAAAGGAAAATGATGCTTAACATACAGATACATCCATGTAGGCGTTTTGGACTCCGTAACTCCGTTATGTTGACATTCATATTGTGATGATATTTCTTTCTTTTTTTTACTGATGCGTTTTCTTTCGATTAGATATTTATTTGGTATACAGTACTACACATACGTTGCAATATTCACAATATAATTTAAGATATATATATATAAAAGATGGCATTAAACAATATAATTAATATAAAATATCGGAATCAATCATTTTTGAAAGACATGAATTAATAAATTTGATTCACATAAGATTATATTTGTATACCAAGGATAACCCATGAAAGCCAATGGCTTATTTCCAATGGGGTCCTTATACTCAAACATGTATATTTTAATTGGATGTTAAATAATATAAGCAGATAAATATAAAATTAAAATACTATAGCTAAGATATGGGATCAAGTTGACAACACAGAGATCCTTAAAAATGAAGTGTATTATGAATGTATACCAAATATTCACATGATTGTAATTGGAACAACTTATACTAATAATAAAAACTAATAAAACACAACTTGACTTTTACACTGGGCAATTCCCCTTTCTAATAAAAATTTCTTGACACTTCTTTTAAAAGCAAAATTATTTCCAGTATTTAAAACAGGTTTAATTTCTGCTGGTAACATGTTCCAGTCTTTGATTCCATTAAAATAAAATGATTCAGATTGCTTTTGCTTAGTTATTGGAACGACAAAATCTGCATTTGAGACTGATCTAGTATGATAGCTACTAAAATTTGACCGTAGTATAAAATGTTCATTAAGATAAGAAGGGGCTTTTCCTTGAAAAATATTAAAAACATGGTTGAGTCTAAGCTGAGAAACTCTATCTTGAATATTTAATAAATTTAATTGACTAAGTATTTCGTAATTAACAGATGCCTGTGGACCTAAATTCAAAATAAAACGAACCATCTTGTTTTGACAAATTTGTAACCTTTTCTTTAAAGTTTTGGATAGCCCTGCATACCAAGCACTACAGGCGTAATCAATATGGCATTGTATTAATGCTGAACACAGAGTCATTTTACAAAAAGTATCTAAAAACCGGGCTTGTCGGTACAGAAATCGCAATCTATTATTTACTTTCTGGACAATCGATTCAACAATGTATTCACCACTTAAACATTTGTCGATCAAAACTCCAAGATATTTAACTTTTTCTTTACAATCAATGTTATGGTCATTACATACAACCTGGAATTTTTCAACATTTTGAAGCTTTCTTTTGGAACCAAATAAAATGCATTCAGTTTTACCTAAATGTAACGATAATTTATTATCAACAAGCCAGTGCGAAGTCTGATCTAAAACTTTACCAAGCTTTTCTGATATAAAATCAGGATCTTTATGTGCAAATAAAATGGCACTGTCATCAGCGTATAAAATAAGTTTACAATCTGCGTCAACACTAGTAACCATGTCATTAACGTAAATTAAAAATAGTAAAGGGCCTAGAATACTGCCCTGTGGTACACCACAAGTGATAATACCAGCATCTGATGAAATTCCATTACTGTGAACAAACTGGTTTCTTTCAGACAAATAAGATAAAAACCAATCAACAGATTGAACACCAATTGCTTTTAGTTTTTTACAAAGTATGTCATGGTCAACAGTGTCAAATGCCTTTTGCAGATCAAGCATAACCATTCCAGTATATAATCCCTTTGCAGTATTATCTCTTATAAAATAAAATAAATGCATCAAACAAGTTTCAGTGGAGTACTTACTTCTAAAACCAGATTGAAACTCATATAAGATATTATTACGATCTAGGAATTTTGAAAGTTGCATATGAACAGATCTCTCTAAGATTTTTGAAACAACACTAAGAATACTAACCGGTCTATAATTACCTACTTCTAGTGAACTGTTCTTTTTGTGAATAGGTTTCACCCTAGCTGTTTTCATATCTTCAGGAACAATGGAAGAAGAAATGGATAAATTTACAATATATGTTATAGGAATCTTTAGAAAATCAGCTCCATCACGAATGAACCTAGCTGGAATATCATCAATCCCCGTACTTTTAGAAGGGTTCAATTTTAAAAGCTCTTTGTATATAAAACTTTCACTGACTGTTTTCAGAGTAAAAAGATTATCATTTTTGGAATAAAAAGATTTAAATTTTTGGTATTTTGATTCTGGTATTTTGACAAAACATATTGATACTTTATAATATTATGATACTTTGGCATTATATACTGATGTTTTTACAAACAAGTTGCTGAAACAGAAGTATCAGCAGTCTCGTTTAAAGTTATCATCTGTAAGTTCTATAGTCGATACAATGGCATTGATTGTCAGCAAATTCAATTTATCATTAAGTCAAATGCTGACTAACGTTTTTCATTCTTACTTAGTATATTGTAAGGCCATTATTTACACACTGAATGTCGATGTATTTTCCGTTACTTCCCAATCACACACTGAATCATGATAAGGGGCACATGGCGAGTGTGACTGATCGGCAGGGTATTCTCATTTCTCCATGGCATCTGATCCAACCTCTGATGATATGGTTGAGTAAACAACTATTAACTTTGTTTCTCTCTTTATTCTCTCTTAGAATGGTGCGACATTCGTACTCGTGAAGACAATGAAAAAGAACTGGATAAACTTCCTGGGAGAAATAAAGATCATTTTAGAGTAAGGACTTTACTATATGATTCTATAAGATAGTTTAGCTCTACATGGTTAAGTAAATGAAATCTTTAAATCATTTGATCAGGAACCACTGGTGTCTGTTGTGATATTTTTATTCTAAAAAACCAAAGAGTGTTAAATACCATCTTTGCTAGCCAAGGGTTTCTGAAACGCTACTCTCCTCGTATTATATGGCTATTGGACTACACGTGTACACCATTTCATGCACGTGTACGTGCATCAGTTAATGATTGTTCGAAACCATTCCTTTTTACCATTTTATATAAAATTCATATGAAAATTACCGTACTATATATGTGGCATACGTGTAAGAAAGTTAAACAAATGGAAGACATCGATCTGAATCAAATAACTATCCCCTCCTCACTTTTGAAAAAAAAAACTTTAAGAATTTTTTTCCAACAGAAAACTACAGGACTGCCTCTGAGTTCCTTGTTTTTATACACCAAAATTCCTTGGATAATTAAGAATGTTCCTGGTGTCAAAGTAGCCATTGATGAAGGAACCTGTATGTTTGGAACGGTCAACACGTGGGTTTTATGGGTATGTCAGAGTTTAGCATTTTAAAAGCGATTTTTTTTTATTAGTAAACGGAATAAGTTATTATTATTACAATAATAATATCCTTTATGTGACAGAGTTATATTAACTATAATTGTTTTATTTGTTATACTTTATTTCTAAGGTATCATGTTTTACTTGGTAATTGTAAAGTTGTTTCATGTTTATAGCTTTTCAGATCGGGATCAATTACCTAATTTTAATCTATGACACCATTGTCTTAATTTACAGCCAATCAGCGTGGCTTCTCCTAATCACGTGACCATTGTTTTATTTTTTACCAAAGGAGAAAGCCACACAAATTTACAAGGAAATTTTTTATCGAAAAAAAAGTATTTCCAGTTTGTTTCACGCAACTTAGGTAGGGTAACACCTTTCTACCTTCGATGTGCTTAGTTTTCAGTGTGATTTACTGGATATTTCTCCACAGGATAAGGGTTTTGATAAGTTTCGATAAGTGACTTTGTTTGTTTACGTAAGGTGCGCGATCCGGTTTGAACCGGTTTGGGGAGAACTTGTGTCACAACATGGAAGAGCCGAATTTCCTCAGGATTTGTTTACTTGGACATTCGTTTGTAACTCGTTTACGGCGATATATGGACTCGCATCCAGATTTAATGAACTTAAAGTTGCATCAGGATTTTTACAGTGTTTCAGTGCGGGCCCGTGGTGGTCTACGGATCTCGAGCATCGCTCGTTCCAGAGACTTCTTGACTTTTGATATGTTGCCGCACGTGTGTTTTATGCAGATTGGGGAAAACGACATTCTTTTGCATACCAATGAAATGATTGTACGTGACATTCTATCTTTAGCATCGTATCTACATTCCGGAATAGGCATACAAACAGTTATTGTGGGTCAACTTCTGCGCCGCCAACCTTGGGCCTCGTCACCGGACTTCAACGAACGCATCATCGCCATCAATGTCATGCTACGGGAACAGTGCTCAAACATTTCGGGTGTGCATTTCTGGCCTCATAGAGGCTTCTGGACAGATTTGACATTTCTGTGCCAGGATGGGGTTCATCTCCGATGCCCCTCCCAGTCATCCCATGTTGTGACCACCTCTCCTATGCACCGGTTTTGGCGAAGTGTTCGCTCAGCTATCTTACAGCATAGGCACATTTCAGGCCAGTATCATTCTGCTTAAATTTGCTAGTCTGACCTTGGTTTCAATTGCTTTACATATACATAGCAAAATATTATAACTAAGTACAAACAGTGATTTACTTGATATGTCCTGTTGATTAAGAATTCACCCCAATATTCGGTGATTTACTAGTTACAAGTCATTGGGTGCATGCATTGCATTTGTTTATGTCATAAACTTTAAATTTTATTGCTGTACGTGCCTTATATAACTGATACATGATGATGATTAGTCAGTTAATTTGTTTTTGGAGTAAATTTAATTCAGCTTTATAGATAAACTTGATTGGAGTAGGTATTTATTTACTCCTGTATATACACTTTGGAAGCAACTTCTCTTTGTATTGTGGGACCATACACATTACGAAATGCTTACTTTGGATGTTGCGGGACCATACGCTTCATCTTGTACGAGTGTATTGTTGTATGTGCATTTTCCTTTGGTGCGGGACCATACCACCTAAGACATGCTTATTTGGTTGTTGTATTGTGGGGCCATACACGTTACACAACTGTTTTCATGTACACTATTCGCAGTCGATTCTGTGGTGATGTTGCGGGACCATACGCATTATCATTTTATGACTGCACATGTATTGATTGTTTGTTACTGTTTAATGTTGCGGGGCCATACGCAACAGCATAGAAATATGATATAAACTATTTTATTTTCATATGCACTTTTTCCTATATGAAGGATCAAGCACACTTTATTTCAATATTTGTTCATGTTGGTCTTAATCGTGTGTATCATCCACATAAGACATTACTGTTTACTGAATATATTTCTGTTAATGGATATATTCATATTCAACTGTTGCGGGACCACACGCAACATCTATCTAAAATATTTCTATGAAGTATAGCTTCTTGTCTTTGTATTAGTTTGTAATCTTCTACTATGTTAAACTAGCCGAAAAATAATATCTTAAAATTGGGTCAGACTAGCTTTAAATTCTCCTTTGGTGTTCTATTTTCAGCTTTTATATTATTGGTCATGATAATAACATTTATATAATGTTTATCCCTTACCCTCTCTGTAATCAAAATTAATATTTTGCAGCATTGAAGCATTTGTAATGTGTACATGGTCACATGTATCTAATGCTATATATAGATATATACATGTGTATATAAAAAAAAAATTATAAAGTTGTTCTGCTGGGGCAGTTTGGACATTTAAGAATTATTTCATGAAAATTTTTTTAATTGCTTTCATTATGCTTTTTTGTTCAGGTGTACAGCCATGCCTCCAAACAGAGGGAATTTAATTTTAAGACAACAAGTCCTCCGCTCCAACAACAACCAAGAGGCGGAAGACAATCCAACCCACTGGCACAGATGTAACTGAAGCCGTAACACTACAACTGCCACCTGTGGAACCACCTGCTCAAAATGAAATCTTAAATATCGACTATGACAAGTTAGCTGCAGCTATTCTAAAACAATCACATGCACACAATGGACTAAGTCTGCAACCTCAAGAGGCCCCTTCAGTGCCAGCAGCTACTTCTCATTCATCTGACACATTACCAAAATCTACAGCAGATCCACAATCATCTTCAGTACCAGGTCCTTCATCTCAACAACCTTCAGCTCAGCAACCTTCAGCTCAGCAACTTTCAGCTCAGCAGCCGACAAGCAGTGTGTCAAGTTCAACACCAGTTTTGGGGACTCTGTTAGATCAAGTTTTTGCAGGTGAGCCAGCAAGGGCTTCTGATCTTCCTTACTCATCTACTATCGTTAGTGATGGCATTCCCCTTGGGTCTTCAGTTTCTAGCAAACTTAAGTCAAAAATTTGGAATAATGAATTCATTGATTTCCGATCCCTGCAAAATACCAGAGAAGAACCTTTGAGTGTTTCAATTTCCACGGGGGTCATCAAATTACACCAAAGTCCAAAATTTAAAAGCCCCATATCTATCTCTCAATGGACAGATGCATTCTTTGTGTTTTCGGCAGTTTACATAGAAAAATACCCTGCTGAAGCCCCCAATCTTTTAAAATATGGGCACATGGTAAGAGAAATTCAACAACTTCATGGGGACAATGCATTTCGCTCATACGATGAGCAGTTTAGGAAACTAAAAGAGAGTGTTAATGTACCATGGCAACAACCTATTCAGGAGTTAAGGCTGAAGGCAGCCACACTATCAAAAGCTTTCCCTGTCAAACAATCCAACAATCAAACCCAGCCCTTTCGAGTTAGGTTTTGTTTCCAATACAATAGAGGAGAACGTTGTAGTAAAAACCCCTGCCCCTTTCGGCACATCTGCATGCAATGTAAAGGATACCACCCCAAGTCTAAATGCACGGATTCAACTAAATCCAGCATGCAGAATTCCCAACCAAAAGCTCCCAACTCCAATCAAAATAAAAAATCTACTTGAAATTCTGCAAGGCTATGACAAAGACAAACTCTCAGTTATCAAAAATGGATTCACCTATGGTTTTCACTTAGGCTGTAAAGGCATGCCAGTTTCAACAATATCTAGGAATCATAGAAGTGCACTCGAACATCCTTCTGTTATTCAGGAATTTATTAATTGTGGTATAAAATCGGGGCGAATAGCTGGGCCCTTCCCCTCTCCACCATTTCCCCAGTTTGTTTCTTCTCCTTTAGGTGTTGTACCTAAATCAGAACCTGGTAAATTCCGTGTAATCCATGATCTCTCTTTCCCAAAACATAACTCTGTAAATTCTATGATACCTGAAGAAAATTCAAAAGTGAAGTATGACTCTTTAGATGTTGTAACAGACCTACTTAGAGAATTTGGTCACGGCGCATTAATGGCTAAGACAGACATTCAGGATGCCTTCCGCATAATTCCAATTCATCCTGATGATTACAAACTCTTAGGATTTTCTTGGAACAATAGGTTCTACCATGATAAGTGTCTACCAATGGGTGCAAGTAGTTCGTGTCAGATCTTTGAATGTCTTAGTAGCAGTTTGCATTGGGTAATGTGCGAAAAATTTTCTGCCTCTGGAATGTCTCATATGTTGGATGATTTTTTCTTTATCGGTCCAAAGGGTTCCTCTAAATGTCAAGCTGATTTAGAGAAGTTCTTGTCTATTTGTGAACAATCGGGCATACCAATCAAAGAAGAAAAAACAGTTACTCCTACCACTGTTATAACCATATATGGGATTGAGATTGACTCTAATAAATTGTTATGTCGTTTGCCTGAAGCTAAGCTTAACAAAGTCAGACACAGTTTACAAGCCGCAAAATGTAGGAAGAAAATAACTTTACATGACTTACAATCTTTGATAGGTTTGCTAAATTTTGCGTGTTTAGTTGTTGTTCCAGGGAGAACCTTTTTGCGGCGCCTCATTGACTTAACGTGTGGGGTCTCTAACCCTAATCATTACATCCGCTTGACATGTGAGGCTAGGGCAGACTTGCATATGTGGTCACATTTTATAGAATCTTATAATGGCAGGTCAGTTATACTTCCCGATGTTTGGTCGTCTTCTGATAAAGAAATGTTATTTACTGATGCTTCAGGCTCATTAGGTTTTGCAGCAGTTTTGGGGACCAGTTGGTTTGCATTAAGTTGGGAGGAAGTTCTAGATTTAGCACAATATCAGATAGCGATAAAAGAACTGTTTCCCATCGTGTTAGCACTGGAAATTTGGGGTCCTGCTTTAGCTAACAAAAAGATCCTATTTATGACTGACAACATGGCCATAGTACACGCCATTAATAAACAAACTTGTAAAGACAAAATTCTTATGAAGTTGATCCGCAGATTAGTTCTAACAGCACTTTCCCACAACATCCTCTTTAGAGCGAAACATATTGCAGGCAAATCAAATACTCTGGCTGATCATCTTTCACGCTTTAAATTGCAGGAAGCCTTCCAGATAGCTCCTCATCTCAGTCCAGTACAGACAGAAGTTCCCAAGGACCTCTTAACAATTTGAATCCAGTTTGCCTGAAACTACTAGAATCGTCTCTGTCATCATCAACCTCTAAAGCTTATCGCAGAAGTTGGAATTTGCTCCTTACCTGGAACCCTCACATCTCACTTCCAGTGTCTGTGACAGATGTTTGTAACTTTATAGGTCATCTATTTCTTCAAAATTATTCACCCAGTACAATTTTTTCCCACATATCAGCTATCAGTTTTATGCATAAATTGTGTAGTATCCCAGACCCTACTCAAGCTTTTGTGACCAAGAAAATTCTTAAAGGGTGTCAGGCAGTAAGCTCAAGGAGGGACACACGCTTGCCTATCACAGCACCGATCTTACAAAAACTCATTGTAGCTCTAGAACACACTGTGTCTCAATACTCGCTCAGACTTCTGTTACGAGCACTTTTCTTGTTATCTTTTCATGCTTTTCTCAGATTAGGTGAGATAACAGCAAAAATCAATGAATGCTGTAAATGGTGTTTTACAAAGGTCAGATATCACATTCAAGCAAGAAAATAATCTATTAGAGGGAGTTCAAATAGTTATGAGAGATTATAAAACAAACAAACATCATGTCCCAATAATCATTTCCTTACAAGCTTGTCCCAATTCTCTTTACTGTCCCGTTCAGGCATTGTATAAATACCTTGCCTTGTATAAACATTCATCCGGTCCACTGTTCCAGACCATGGATGGCTTGCCGATTACTTACTCGGTTGTTACTTCACACCTCAAAGCAGCAATTCAGTTTATTGGATTAAGTCCAGATCAATTTAAGGGACACAGTTTCAGAATTGGGGCAGCAACACATGCAGCCTCACTTGGTTTCTCAGACAATGTCATTCAGAAGCTTGGAAGGTGGAATTCTGATGCTTTCAAACACTACATCCGTATTCAGTCTTTTCATATATAGCTAATTGTACAAGTTCAGATTTCAGTGCATATCCCTGCGTTAGTTCCCCATATCAATAGGTTTTAAAACTTTAAGACGGTTCAGAAGTATTCTGCTGTCACAAATAACCACATAAACTTTGAAGAGCAGAGGAAAGTTGTCTGCTGCTCATATTTAGATCAGTCATATTATAGGAGACAGTTCAGAAGTTTTCTGCTGTATTTTATTCCCAAATATCCATAATTTTTTAGGAATACACGGCAGTTCAGAAGTCTTCTACTGCCTAAAAGTTATTTTCAGCATGTCAGTTCAGAAGTCTTCTGCTGACATATTTTTCAGTCTTTTTATATTTGTACATATCATCATAGGTATATAGTCATAGGCATAGGATATAGTCATTTTTTAAAGGGCATATTGAATATATTTTCCTTGCTGGCCACCACATGCTCTCAATGTCAAATAACAAAATGTTTTATATTGAACTATTGTTTATTACCTAAGGTTGTATTATATTGTCATTTTTGATACTCATGTGTTTCTTTTCTAATTTATTATTTGACATGAACGTTATATGTACTATAAACAATCGTCTCAAATTATAAATTGCGCCTTGCCAAGTCGCCTTGGGTGGGTGGATCCAATTTGCAATTGGATTGTGGCGTTTATTTTCTTTTTACCCACCCTTTTTTGATGACAGGCATATCAGTGCCTGCTTTATGATATATGTAATTTTAGGGGGTCAGATTGCATAATATGTTACCAAAGATTTTTGTATTCTTTCAAAGTTTGTTCTAGTCTTGTCTGACCCCCTTATAATATGTTTATATTTTGTTTTGCGTCATTTACTTCAATAAATGACAATTTTTCACTTTCACTACTGTTGTTATTTTAATTTTAATCCATCAAAAAACTAGCTCAGTTGACTTGGCTTCGGTCTTGCATAATAACAGAGGAACATAAATAAGTTATTATTATTACAATAATAATATCCTTTATGTGACAGAGTTATATTAACTATAATTATTTTATTTGTTATAATTTATTTCTAAGGTATCATGTTTTACTTGGTAATTGTAAAGTTGTTTCATGTTTATAACTTTTTAGATCGGGATCAATTACCTAATTTTAATCTATGACACC